CCCCGTGTCCTCGGTCACCTGTGACCGTGGGGCAGTTCCGTGTGAGGAATCGCCCGCTCTTCGGTGCGGGCTCCCCGGAGAACGGGGCTGGCCCCACGCAGGAGCGGGGAGGCGGCGGGGGTCGCGCTGGGGTGTGTGTGTGTGTGTGTGGCTGCTCAGGTAACGCCCGAGCGAGAACCGACGGTCAGGGCAGTGCTGGGCTCGCTTTCTGCGGTTTCTTCGTGCCTTTCGGCTAGAGTTTTCCCAAAATGCAGTATTTATCACTTCAGGATAAAGAAAACCTGTCAATAAAAGCCTGGGTAAACCGGTACTTTTTATGTTGTTCACTCTCTCGTGTGCAAACGCAACCTCGTGGATCGTAGGAACTTCAGAGAAGGATATATTTCTAATCAGTCGTATGTAATGCTTCTAGCAAGACAACTGTGAATAACTTCTGACTGGATTTTTGAGGTGCAGTCCATGTTCTTCCCTACCTATTTGGTGATAGCTCTGTCCTCACATGAAAGTGGGTATGTTTTCTATACATTAATTTTAAATGTGTGTTCTTTAACAGTAATGGCAAAGTATAAGAAATGCAGACGAAAACAGAGAGCCCGAGCAAAATTTCTACTGGGAAAAAAAGGAGATGCTGCAAACCTCCAGGGCTCAGGTTGTCCTCCTCCACGGTAAGAGGCTCAGTTTGAACTTTTCCATTTAACTCAGTCTCTGGGTCCACTGTTTGCTCACAATGGTTCATGGAACTGAGGCAATAGAATCATGTTTGAAGCCTATCTGCATCCCGGCATGGATGGTGTAGAATTGTTTCATCTTGTGTATCTTCCAGTACTCTATCTATCATTAACTTCAATATGCAGGAAAAGCAATTTGGATAAAAATGTATTGCAAATATGATTCCCCCCCCTTTATCGAACTGTATTTTGGTCTTTCCTGGTCTCTGTGGTCACGTTTACTCTGTTGTCACCTGCTGTTTCTGGTGCTTGTAATTTCCAGATGATTGGTCACAGTTAACTTTTTTAAAGGTTGAAATGATAAATATAACTATAACTATGGCCTCATTCTGAAATGTTCTGTCTCAGGTCAGCAGGTGATCTTCCTCTGAACATGTCACCTGTCCCAAGCCATCTGTCCTCACTCTGGTCGTTAGCCTTGCCCAGTATAAAAAATGTGGTAAAACCCTTTACAACAGCAGCATCATTTTTGTATTGTTGGTGCCAGAACACGGTTGTACAGGTAAGTTTTCTACTTCTCTATTTTTGCCAGTGTGTGTGGTTGTTCTTAGCGCTCAGATGCAGGATATACAGTCAGATTTGAGAACTAAGCTGTAAATGTAGCTATGTCTATTGAAACATCTAAAGTGTATTTAGTGTTTACTGTTGAAGGAATAAATACGAGAAGAGTGTCAAGGCAACTGTGGACGTGAAATGCATACGTGCAACTGTAGGGTTTTTTATTGGAATATCAGGAGGATTTGCAGTGACAGAGGGTGCAGTCTTTCTTTCATAGCAGAAATGATTGTGTGAATTTTTCAGGTCAACCATGAATTATACTTTAGAATTTATAGATGAAGTTAAAGTTTGGGTTTTTTTAGAAAGTCACTCCTTGGGTTCCTGCCAAGGAAATATTTGGTGACGTTTTATATCTTTGTGTTGCGCCTTTCCATTGACTGCAATGAGAAGACGTTGCAACAGAACTTTCAATAGTAATCATAGTCCTGTCTCTGGTAACATAACATGGTGAAAACGCTTACCTGGTTTCTTTTTATGCTTAGAGTTTTAAGGTGGTTAAAGACACTGTATTTCCATCACAAATCTACTTAAGGGAGCTAAATACGTTCAGAGAGCAGCTGGAAAAGTTGGAAACTGAATTTTCCAGACTACAAGGATTACTCCAGGTCAGTCTCAATCCCAGTGGGGCAGGATAATGTTTGCTTGTGTAAGCATGTAAGAAACTGTGGTCAGTGCAGATAAACTGCAATCTTAAGAGCTTCTCATTGGGCATTCTTTGCTTTCAGCATTACTGAACTGCGGTTACCTCACGGCTAGAGGGAAGCGGTTTGCTGGCAAGCCTCATAAGAGGCTTTTTATGTCTTTCTGGATCAACTGAAACCAGAAATTTTGTCCTCTGAAATTCCATCTACTTTTGCCAGTGGATTTAATATTCTCTTGTTTATTTTCAGATGAATGGAACTGCAGCCTTGTCTTCAGAAAATTCTCTTTGTCAAAGGTGTAATAAACCAGTTCTAGGTGCTCCTGTACAAGTGCAGATGGGCCTGCAGTCATCAGTATGTGGGCCTTCCACAACACAGCTGCAGCCTGTATCTGCACCCCCTCCACCTCTTCCTCCGCCGCCGCCGCCGCCACCACCACCACTGCCCCCTCCAAAACTGCCTCCAGCACCATTCCCCCTCAAACGGGGCAATGGCTCTAAAGCACTTCTGGTAGGGAGTAAGAGGGTTCCTCTATTTCTTTTTTCTCATGGCTGGGTTCTCTGGACCTGGTTTCATTGGGAATCTGTGTCTTTGTGAATGCTCAGTCACTTGGCGATCCTAATTTCCCTTCCAACCACCTTTGTTTTCAGGCACCATCAATGAAAAACGATGGGCCGATGCAGATCACTCTCAAAGACCTCCTGAATGTTAAACTGAAGAAGACAAACAGCAACCTGAGAATGGACAAGGTAAACTGGAGGACACATGGATAAGAGGATGGTGGTGTATCGAGGCAAATTCCATGCTGAAACTGGTGTATTTCCTGCAACGCTTCTTTTAGCCCCTCAGAATTTTTTCAAGAAACTAGCTCTTCTCTTCCAAAAACCCAGTGATCAGCTTTAAGTAATCCTTCTAATTCTGCACCTGGGCATTTGAAGTGAAGAAATTAAGTGTCTAACTCCAATCTCAGCTGGCATGCAGGACAGTTCTCCTAATTTTAGAGAAAGCATGTAGCTTTATGTCTGTGTGTTACCAATAGATTTTGGGCTGTCTTTTGCCCAGCTGAAATCTTGTTTGCAAAAGGTTTTTTTTTAATAAATCTATTTTTGTCCAAGGCACATTCAAATCTTAATGATTCAAAAAAGCATAAAAGCCATAAACCACAGAAGCCATTCAGAGTATAAATATTAAACAGATTTAAGGTCAGTGAGGCCTTCTAAAGTTTATTTGTGGTAACATTTCTTTCCTCACTCTAGGCAGAATCACCAGTGAAGACACGCAGGGCATTAATTACAGTCTCAGATTTACAGAGTGTTAGTCTGAGACCTAAATCCAAGCCATCAGCTCACGTTACAAACTCCTTGATGTAAGATGCTTTCTTCCTTTCTTTGATGTTAGATTTTTCTATTCTAAACAGTTTAACAGATTAACATTGTTTACAGAGCGGAAAATATTTTATTTTAACAACTTCTTTTGTTCTTTCAGTACCCCTCTTAAAAATCAGTTAGATCTTCGAAAACATCTGAAGAAAGTCAACATACAAAGGTAAGTTCCTTCCTATTATCTTGTTTTGTTTTTCTAGAAAAAAAATAAGAGAACTAAGCATAGTTTCCCTTGTTTCCAATCTTTTCAGAAGTCCCGGTGGCACTCCACTAAATAGTAAAGAAAACATTGAATGCGGTTCTGGGTTGACACCAATTATGACACAGGCACTACGGCGCAAGTTTCAGGCAAGTCATGGCGTTTCTTTTTTTGGAATGACAAACTGGCCTTAAAATCCAGAGATATTTCATACTGATTCTCTTCCCTACAGTGCAGGATGTATGTATTACGTAAGTTACAGTCTCTCCGTAATTCTCATCCAAAAGTGCTAAGTACCCAGAAATAAGGGTGCTTGTTTTGCTGATTCCTGTTTTAATGGTAAGGTAACTGCAGAATGGAAATGCCATTGCCCATCTTTCAGCAGGTTATTTGACGATGCGAAGATGAAAAGTTGCTTTTTTTGATGGCCATTCTAGTGCCTCGATGCAATCTCTAACTCCGTAGTTCCGGTTTGCAGGAGAACAAAACCTGAGGGTTAATAATGTATTTTTAAGGATTTGCTGCGTCTGTTTTCTTTTGTGGTGTCAGTTAAGAATTGCACTATATTTTATCTTGGTCATAATTAGCACTAAGTTCATCCTCCAAGATCTGACCCTTTTCTTGTTTTGACAGATGGCTCATCCAAAGAGTCCCTCGCCTGCCCGGTTAAGCGCAGCCAACAGCTTTGATGAACAAAAGTAGGTTTATGGAACAAAGTATTTTCCATTTGTGGTCAGGAAGCCACTTGAATCCCATTTTTATATCACTCAGGCATATGCATTTGTAAGTAAATCCGGTGCATGTGAGAACAGGGAATTAAGAAATCCCATTAGCAGATTTCTGCTTTTTAAAGGCAGTGTCTTTCTAATGTGTCTCAATCTGGTTGCACCTTCTCTGTTAATGGAAAAAAAAAAACCAAAACAACAAACAAACATGAAATTTTGTGACTCTTTTGCTACCTGGCCACTGCTGAAGCGGGGACTGTGATGCTCCCAGCACTGCTGCTTCTTGTAATATAAATATGTGTGTGTCTGCTAAAATTCCGTAGTGTTTTTACATTTATTTTTTTTTAACAAAAGAGATCTTGAGGGTAATTATGCTGGCTCAAAGAAAAGCAGCAGTTTAGCAGTCTAATGTCACCGAAGTGAAAGGCTGCAAGCTTCCACAACAATTCCATCGTGTGCCTAAGAACTTACGAAGCAACTGCACTCTGCATCGCTTTTGGCTGGTGTCGGATCACCCGTCGCGTGAGGAGACCGCGCCGCGTAAAGGCAAGTGACCGAAAGCCTCCTCCGAAGTCAAGTTCACCGAGAGCTTTCGCGGCGGTCGGGCGACGTGCCGTGGCTCCCGGTCGGGACAAGGACCTGCTCTCGCCCGCCGCTGCAGCCGCTTATCCGGAGCGATGAGGGTGGAGGGCGAGTTCTGGTGGCACAGCGAGTTCTGGTGGCACGGCGATGGCCCCACGGCAGAACCGAACAGCCGGGGCCGTCGGGAGA